AGTTTGCTGGTAATGGCTTTCATACTTCGCTGCCAAGTCATTGTTTGACCGCGCCTGGCTCTCTTCCACCCTTCACGTGGTTGTGTGAAAAGAGCCCTTCGAGGAATTCAGTCGACTGGCATACGCAGCACGTGGCCAAGCCAGCGCAACCTGTGCAGTGTGATCAGTTCGTCTATCGAGGGTGAGTAATTCCCCCCGAACACCATTCGACAAACTTCAGCATTGCTGCTCCGGTGTTCCCACCAGATTCGGGCAATGCTCCGAAGACATCGATGGTCAAACACTGAAAGCCTTGTGACGTCCTCAGCGCGCAGCGGCCAGGTTTCTGATCCGTATGGTAATATAGTTTGAATGTGCACGCAATGATGTCGGACTTACTGGAGCATTTGTGATAAGTCGAGGTGAATATGCAGTGCACCGGTTGCCAAATTCACCTTAAACCCATTTCCGTGGGAACGCCATTCCTTCCTTCATTGAACCGATGCGTTTAAAACGGTATTTAGGAGTCATCTTACATTGCCTGTCATAGTTACCACCCTCCGTAGGAAGAGCTCCGTGCTGACTCCTAGAATATTCCTCGAGTAAATCCATGAAGCACAGGTCATGGATCACTTTTTGGAACTTGTCGCAGTCAGACTCCCTATAAGGAATTTTTCCCATGGAGGTTCTTACCCTCTCATTTCTTCTGGGCTACGTGAAACACACATTCTGTTCCCGTTAACAGAAATTCACCTGAAGAGTCAATGCTGTTTAAGAGTATATAGTGGCAAGATAGTGATTTGCTATTCTTTAGAATGGGGCGAGATGGCCCAAGTGGTTAGAGCGCGAATTTACTGACCGGTCCGTGGTTCGAACACGGCCTCCGCCTCTCGACTTTCCTTGTTTAGGCTTGGGCAACCCGGCAGTATCCCAGCCCTCGTGCTTCCTTCGCGTAGCATGGCAGTTAGGCACCGGAAGGATGCTACAGCTGAACGATCCCTTAGAATTGGGACGACTTTTTTGCAAGATGTCTAAGCCCACATGTTTTCATGCATTGGGGGACTTTGGTGCACCTAATGCACGAAATAAGTAAACTCAAACCAACTAACGGTATCGGTATGTGACAGTTAGCCCGAAAAAAACTTTGATTCTCAAGGTCGAATTTGCAAAATCTATTTAGATACTTGGAAGAAAGTGCCTCAGCCACAGTGAATACCTCCCTCGCTCAGCACTATTTCAGCAGCGCGAGAGCTTGCCTTATTTCACAATTCAAAGTTTTATTTGCTACCGTTACTTTTGACCAGATCATTCTGAATCATGACATGTTGTCAACGCATTCCGATTCGGTTTGTCGCGTAGTCCTTACTCCAGCTGTTGCACAACACCGTCACTCTCATTAGTGACATAAAGCACAGTATAAAATCACACTACGTAGACTTTTCAAGACAGAAAATTTGACGCATGAAATAGGAATAAATAGCTAAGTTGTGTCTAGGAAGTGTAGTGAGGCCTACCTAACCAATGTCAAGAATGCGCAGATACAGACAGTCAGGGAGCAGTCATGGATCTGTCCTACCAGTAACTTAGTAGAGCATCGCAACGCACGTCATTTGCGCCAGAAATATGGTCGTCCAGTATTCCAACAAATCCTGAAAGACCAACTTCGTCCATTCCTATTTTCCATCTGTTGTCCCCAAGTCTCCCAAATGGTGTCAGAAGACACTCCATCATGGCTGGCTACAGAAACCATCAGCTTGAACTTGCAGACATATGCACTTTGGAGACGTGAAAAGTGGGGAGGATTAGAACACAATGTTCACCGTCCAATTCCAACTAACTTTCACACTCAGATCAAGAACGCACAACACAAACCACAGATCAAATTTACTCTTAAGGAATCAGTTTTTGCAACCCATATTGTTAAACTGGTTTACGCGAACAAGCGATCAGTAAGTGGGGGTCAGGTCGTGTTCCGTTGAAATGCGTGAACGAACAAGAGTTGTCATTATAACAAAAATATTTCCACTCCCTGAATGTGATTTCACATTGAACACGGAAAAAGCCGTTTTACACCACGTTTGGTAAGACACCGTTAACCTTCATGATAATACCGAGACGTTTTCAGAACGATGGTAAAAGGCAGTACTCACACGACTCCTGGTCATCCCTCCTCGCTGGCTGGTAATGAAGCACTACAAACGTCCTTGTGAAATAACTTATAGATCACAAAGTCACACCGTTCACCAGCCACACGTAAATCTGGAATATAATACGGACCATGCTACTAAGGGACAGCACTCAACTTTACAAACCTTTCATTGTGGAACTTAACTAGTGCTGATTTTGTCGTGCATCTTGCTGGAACAGTTGAGAAACTCGACGACAAACCTTGCAAAGTGGAACATTAATTATCCTACCTCTAAAACACAAGGTGAAACATGTTTATTGTCACTATTGCGGCGGTTATACTTGAGAACATTGTGGCATCCTTTTCTCTCTGGATTCATGGAATTTTTGTCCAGGGTTTCTCCTCTTGAGTCTAAGTTTGGACCCTGAGCTTGAAACCTTCTTCTGTCAGCGATTTGTTGAAAATTTCCCTACCCATCTACTTCTAACGTTATCGGTAGTATGAATATAATGCAAAAATGTGAATCCACGTTGTAATGTTCTTTAGGGAAAAATGTGGAAAGCCGTGTTGTTGATAAGCGTACATAGTAGAAAATATTGTGCACTGTTCACAGTTAAACTTATACACCTACATATATGCTTAGCTGTTACATATCAATGGAAAAAAATTCGAAGGTTGACAATGGAAATTGCCGAAGTCATTGGTCACTCCTGCCTTCAATTGGCTGAATTTCGCCGTTGGATCAGGCTGTCGCGACGCTTCAAATTACTGAAATTGGCCACCATATAACACAAAATATTGTCCCGCATTTGTCACAGTGCAATGCACTTGAGCCTTAGGGAGGAGCTGTGCAGACGTTGAAGGGATTTGCGCAAACGTAGATACGTAAGTCGTGGGAAAGCAGCGCTGGTGGAAAACGCATTCGGTCAAGGTCAATCCAGCAATACTCTAGGAAGTGTGGTATAAAACCAAAAACATACGAAGGCAGATATGGTAGTTTCTGATTAAAAATATGTGAAGCATTATTCGCTTGAAACAGTGGGTACAATGCATTTTGCGGAGAGCTATAACATTCTATATTTCCAGAATGATGGTGCGTAGATATCGGGGTAACTCAGCAGAGTCGCGTAGATTTGCCAAATATAAAAGGGCTATGGTATAGTGAATATATATATATATATATATATATATATGTATATAGCTTGTGAGTAGTTTCCTTTATGAAAATATACTGCGATATCTCGAATATCGTGCCAGGTGAAACATGAGGCGGCTTGTGTGCAGCACATTCAGTTGTAGAATATTATAAACGAGAGATTCAGTTGAGTCTCTCGTGAAAACCAAATTGATTTGCAAATGAGTGTATTTCTCGAATATAGCATTGGTTTAAAAACATGTTTCATTCAACCAAAGCTACAGACAAGCTCTTTCCTAGTCGTTCAACTTGGTTGGTGCAGTTTCACACATGTTCCCGGTCGATATCAACACCAAGCTAAAATTCCAAAAGTAGATTACATACAATTTCCTCCGCCCAGTTTTGGAATGTGTACACTGCTTTTGTTACTCAACCGGTCCAAATATCGTTCTAAAGATCACAAATCTATGATCAGAAGATATTGTTCCGGTGGCGTTTCGATCAATCGACGGAGTTGTTTGGACTCGGGTCGCGACCGAAGCAAACAAGCAGTCATCAACATCGAAAGTGGCCAAAGTGGTCTGTCGATAGATCAGAAATTGCTCAAACTGTCCAGTATGGCAACTTGTCTCTTGAAAAGGCAGAGTTTTTCTGGTAGATTTCCTAATTTCAAGGTCATACAGAGGTTTGCGGACAGCCGATCAAGGTGTTCTGAAAGTTAACCATCGTCGTGACCATAAGTATAAGCTAAATATTAGCAAGGTGACATCAGTTCTCATCTCCAAAATCCGTTTTATGGACAACAGCTTAAGCAAACACACTATCCACAGAGCAGAGAATGACACTGAAAGTCTGCTTCAAATGCATTAATTGCCCACTGAAAGTTCATCATCAGGTTTGTCTAAACAGCACAGTGGGACCTCGGTACAATTAATAATAAATATTCATGCATATAATGATCTGTACAACTGATTGGCTAATTTGACCGCAGCAACCGTCTCCATGGGGCACAACTAATAACGTGGTTTGTTGTTAATCTATTTGATTCAGACACCTTGGAACGTGCGAAGACTGTTTCAGCCAACAGGATTAATAGGCCTGAAAAGGCCTGTGGTGAGCGAAAAATCAATGCTGCAAACAGCCTGCCTATCGCTTTGAAAGCGCTCACTATTTCATCGTGAGCCTCAGTTCACGTTAAGTGAAACACTTCGTCGGAATGCTTAACTAGGGTGTCATTTTGACATTAAAATAACGTGGATGGTATTCAAATCGGACGGTCACTGTTGAAATTCCTCTAGAGCTCCAAATTACCCGCCAGTGAGTTGTTATGTGGGCAAATGTCTGGGATGTGAGCACACTCCGACATATTTATGGAAACCCAGTAGACTCCTTTTTGTTTGCCTGACATTCCAGGTTAGCTGTTCCGTTGGACTAATAAACATTCGCCACTTTCTCAGAGGTCACCCAAAACAGGATAAGAAATCCTTTGACTTTCTGCATCAAAATACTCACCTGGTAACACGATTCTCAGGAGTTTGTGCAAAAATACTGACTGGTACTTGTGAATCTTGCTGCATCGGAAAAAAAGAGAAGATCGGAATCCGCAGTTTACGCAACAGGGGGAATGAGGGCGATGAGTGCAATGGACATACAGTTTATCACGGAGTTTAGAAAACGAAATTAAAGAGGACAGGCAAATAACTTATCCAGACTGTTCTCTGAGATACACTAGAGTACGTGTCATCTTCTGCTTCCATTCTGCAAGTCGAACACAATGTTTATCAAGTGTGACAGTGAACGACAAACGACACTACCCATTAGACTTTAGGGTTTACAAAAAATTACGTTCATATTAGGTTACCACAACGCTGTTTAGAAAAATAGCATCGCAGTTCATCAGTAAGTTTATTAGCCCTAATTTGAAAGAGAGACTTGATTCGCGCGTAATCCATACGTTTCAAACAGAGCAGACACAGTGTAATACATACAAGGAACAGGTCAGTAGATAGCTGTTGACTGATCGACATAAAATGTGGCTGCCGCTCGAAGTAGTATAACTTGATTCTAATAAACTCAATTACATTGGTTCCGATACACGTTTCTCTCGTGCTTTTGACGTTGGAAGTTCTTCATGTCATCACAAACCACGTCGGCTCGCAAGTGCAGACAGGCACCGTGTAATGATAATGTGAGTTTGATACGTTAGCTGGAGTTTTAACAAAGTATGCGTAATATTTGTAATGTACTACTCATAAGGTTGCTGAAAATCCATTGACATGTATCGCGATATTTCAAATATCGTAGCGACTGAAACATGAGGCGGCCTGGTGCAGCACATTCAGTTGCCTGAGAACATCATAAACGAGAGATTCAGCTGGGTTCCAGGTGAGTCTCTCGAAAGAACCAAATTAGTTTACAGATGAGTGTATATTCGCTAAAGTATGCGTAAGTTTGCTCAATAGCTATTAAAGTTAAAAACCTGTGCTCAGCAGGCTATAATCCAGACACAACCTACCAAACCTTATTAGGAGAATAAATGGTTTTGCTCTTTCGCTCTAGGATATCTTTATAGTCCACTCTCTTTCGGTCGCTTCACATTTCCGGTTATTTCGAGGCCATCTCATGACTGCCATACAGTTTTCGTCGGTGTCCTTAGTGGCCTGTAAACAAGTCGCAGTGAGGTTGTCTTCACAACATTCGCTGAAGTAATCCTGATCAATGTGGTGATGTATGACCCTGATCAGACACAACGAATTTGACCGCTTAACTCGTCACCCGGTCGATCAGTGCACCTTGCGGGAATGACTCATCACCGGAAGCTCACGTGACCGCTTCGCTGAGGCTCATTTGCCTCCTGGTTCCACAACTGACCTTGACTTTCAGACACGTAGTGTGGGGGCGGGAGTACTAGGATATTGATTAAAGTTAGGCTGGATTTCAAACACTCGGTTTTGACAGAAGGGGGTAATTCTACTCAGCTGTAACGTACTGGTGAATATTTCTGTGAAGATAACGTAGTCCGCTGCGCTTTATCCCTATGCAAAGCATCACTACTGTTTAAGAGATCATACTTTTCTAGCAGGCTTTTTGCAAAAATTCAAAAAAAGCGGTGTGATGACTCATATGATCATGCGACACATGCAAGCAAGCTGGTTATTGTGAGAATCTTCCGAACTTCTGGGTATTCGAAAAAGTGTAGTTAAATTCTCACCCGGTAAGGCATCTTGTGGTGACAAGTGGGAAACAACGGATAGCCTCTCTAGCCTCGAAAGAACGCAGGATGTGTCCCGCGAGTCGCTAGAGTGATCCAAACCAGCAAACTGCCGGCTTGGTTTTGAATGCCGCCTGTCGGCGCACTGAATGTACTATTCACTGTAATAGTACCAGGGTAGATTCAAGTTCGGTGATCAAAAGAACGGTGGATTAGAAATGATACTAAATTTGCTTTTAATCAACTCACCGTCGAATTCAAAGGGTAATTTGTCCTCCATCAACTCGTTAAAACTATCTACCAGGTTGACCATGTCGAGTTGATTCCACTTGTACAGTTCGTGAGTCCGCAGTACCGCCGTGCCCGTGGCAATTACTTGCCCAGAACACCCTTCATGGATCCGGTCAATTTTGAAGAGGTCAATCGCCTCTGGAATGCGTGTGGGACGGATTCTGTCTTTGAACTATTTTGAACAAGTGAAGTAAAGAACGGCAGGTGGATAATGTAGTCGTTGATCCAACCATTAAGTCTTAACTAGACGGAACACTGTAGGTTCGACACAGAAGTGAAATAGGCCGCTTCTCACTTGTTTCATTGCACAAGCTTCAACGAATAACTTAGTTTTACCGTCTGTGAGGGAATCAAATATTAATACAGTTGAAATGCGTTATGATGAGACAATTAGACTGCATGACACTTATCTAAGCCTTTGTCAAAACATGCGAAACACAAATCAGGCTTAATACCTAAAGAACCTGTGAATCTACCCCTATAATACTAGAGCAACGAAAAGAGGAAAACCCCTTCTCTGCGAGGTTATTTATCAGCCCTTACTAACTACGCAGTTACCAGCCGTCAGGCGCAAAAGTAAACATCTTATCTGCACAGACTTTTCCTAAAACTGAACCTTCTTACGTGTCCTTTTGAACTTTCTTGGACGTATGTTGACTAGTAAGCAATGCTAAACAAACACTGCAAAATGATTCCATATTTTCCGTGTTAAACGTCACCTTCCATCCGATGCAGGGGCGGAACTTGGACATTGGATCTTTACAACGGTGATGTGGAGAGATTCGGTAATGTTCAAGTGATGTTTCATCCCGTTTTATCCTTATTGGGGCCCATCAGCATTGCGCGTTTGAAGAAACCCTAGAGAGTTGCGAACTCGATACCGTCCGGCTAGTTGCTTCAGCTTTTAACCATTCGGCCATCAGAGACTGATCAGCAGGGCTACTGACTCGCATTTAGACAGGTATGGTACCACTCATCCTTCAGACACGTAAAACACGTCATATGGCTACACCTGTTGACTGAGTGATGACTTTTCAGTTAAAAGTTTCACAAATCCAGTGAAATTGTTATTCCTCCGATTCATTTGGTGATATTCGATAATATTCACTGGAGATTTCATCCTGTCAGTGGAACCAGTCCACACTGAAAGACTGAGAAGCACAGAATACTTGTTTCATTTTTACAAGAAATCATCAGCAATGCATAGTTCACGGAACTTCGGGGAGTTTCGAACCTGCCCTTGACTAGTAGTTCAAACACTTTACCGTTGATCTCCGGCCAACTTGTTCCCGTGATTGAAGGGTGAGTAGTCGACGGTTCAAAACTCTCCGAACTTTCGTGAGTTGCGCACTGCTAAGTACTATCTCATTGTGTTGTAAAAAAAACATGAAAGCATACGAAAGCTAGACCAATTACCTTCAAATAAGAGAGTGTGATTTTCTTCCTTCGGGGTATGGTTGAGGGGTGAGTGCTAAGGCCCAAGTCCTATTGCGCGTCCACCTTATTTGGTCAAGTAAGATTTGCTTCTCGAAGATTTTCAAAGAATTCCCGCCCTTACATCCCTGCTTGTCGCTTGCGTGACGGTTAAATATATTTGTTGTAGTTTCACTATGATCTAGCTAAAACACTGTCTGGTGATTAGCATTGAGAAGTCTTTGATTAGCGCTTCTGTTACTATGTTTTAAAGACCAAAATAAATGAGATGCGCACTACTGACATTTCCAAACAAGGATGAAACAGCAATAGAGTGCCTCTAGGATGTTCAGCATCAATTGACCTGACTGACAGGGCAAAATCTCAGTTAGATCCTTGACGGCGAGTCACGGATATTTCAGCCACGAAGAAGTGCAATAAACGGAAGCAAACGAAAATATTTGAGACCACTTGATCTCGCTTGTAGCGTAATAATTACAGATTAAATTAGTGGAACCTGTGATAAGCGCCGGAGTGGGTGAAATGGTCTTTAGTTTCCGTCCTCGGATCGTAGAAACTTACGAGATCATCAGCTTGAAACAATATCGTTTTGAAATCAACTGCCTGTTCATTCCACATCACTGCTTTTCTATCCCATTGGAAAGGAATTCGTAGTCTGACGTCTAGAAATTGATGAAAAATGCATTTATGATGTGAGAGAAATTGCCATTAAAAAACAGTAATGTTTACAGCCAAGACAATGTGTCATGTTTGAAATACTAAATTCTTCAAAGCAGACATGTAAACTAGTCAAGCTTTCTACTAAGCCAGCAAGAAACATGAAATGATAAACGAAATTAGCATCTGTTGGTTAGAGGAAGTAGGTGTGTTTTCAAGAAAAAATAAATTACTTGGAGGAATTCAAATAGCGAATTCCTCATGTATACCGGAAACGATCCTCTGTCAAAGAATTTCTCAAATATAGAGTGCTTGATCACGCCAAAAATATGCTAGTGTACTCATTTTCTTACTGATATGTAGCAGATTACATCGGACGCATGACAAGGCAAGTTGGCCAAGGGATGAAGGAACACAATCCACCCTGGCTAGGCTCTGGAACTAGAAGGGCGATAACAACATCTTGCAGATACGGTGTACAACGTGATGCCCAGACAAAGCTTCCGCATTGTTTACAGGGAGCCGGGTGATCAACTCAGATCAGTACAGCAACGCACAATCGCAATACCTCAGGCTATAACCATACGACATCGCAATGCGATCCTCCTTTGACAAAAGCGCTTTGTTCGTGTGTTGTACTTGCCATGGTCTAACTCAGCTCCTCTCACACATGCACCTTGGTCCTGAACACACTACTATAGTACCACCAGCACGGACTAGCTGACGTCACCTGGCCTGAACTAATTGTTCTTTTGATAGGTAGCCAATGTCGTCTCCCAATCAATTTCCTGTCCATTTACGCCATGCTCATCCAAGTATGTTAAATACTGCCCTCTTCGCAAATGCATAACTTGAAAAAAAAACCCATCGAAAACATGTTCATGAGCCCATCTTTGTTCCTAATAAAATATCAGGTGTTTCGCCATCTGATTGGAGTGTTGACAGTCTAGCACTTTTATTATCTTGGCACATGAGTCGACTGTATCCAAATAAGCTGTGGTCTTTTGCTCCCATTTCTTCCGGCATCACACAAACAATTCTGCCAGAAACGTACTAAAACCTCGCGGAATTCATTCTTATTTACATTTTTCATGGGGGGGGGGGGGCTTCATTATGATGATGCGTTTCCATCGTTTTCGAATCGGCATGTCAATTGGAACGGAGCTCGTAGACAACTTCAAACGATTGGGTTTACGCTGAGCAGCATGAACCTATGAACGCCCGAACTCCCTGTACCCATGTACAGTTGAGGGTGGGAACAGTTCCAAAACCATCACCATGCTCGAATGGTTGCGGGTAGTTGAACAGTTGAGCTCACTTCTATGCAATGAGCCATCTGGTGGCTCACAGCACTCGGAAGGCCAGTTAGTTAATGCTAGCTGTCATTCAGCAGGGTCACAGTGAATCCACTCTTGAATCACCCTTGTAGACTCATTATTCCAGGAAGTCCGTGGTGTTGCACGCGGTCTTTTGCAGACGGGCATGATAGATTGGTAAAAATATACTATAACGGGACGCATCATGTCACACATCAAAGCAATACAGCTGAATTCAATATGACTAATAGAAAATGGATTTGAGATAGTAATGAAAACCAGCTTTCAGCCGGGTGACCAAACCGGAGCCGCTTCGGGGGGAATCGAATACGGCCACCTTGAGTTAAGACGGCGGACACCAATAAACGGACCATACTCGCTACTTATGCACACTCTTGTCTGATGGCCCATATCCCATATGAGACGCGCCCTAGAAACAGATATTTTTGGCTGCTACAAGCTACCATTCAGGTTGGTTCACAAAACGGTGGTTACAGGAGGACAATTCTAGCATCGTTGTAGTTTCGAGCCTTTAGAATTTTCTCGATAATCAGGGTGGGACATTGCCGATTCAGATTGAGATATTCTAGAATTTGAACCGGATAATTTCCACACCACATCTGATGAGAGCCGCTAATAATCCGGCCTGAGAATGCACCTGTTTGGCACTCTGTCATTGGCGATGAGTTGACTTTATTCCATTCAACCGATGAAAAACTTTAAAAGTCAATTCCAGCATGATCACGGGCTTACCACGCCGGACCGCTGAGGTATTTTCGTTGGCCTTAGTCTGCATGGCGATGGACAAAAAAAAGCTTCAAACACTGGTAAACGTGCTCCATACACTGACATTTTGATGATCGCTTTGTTCGCTGGTGACCGACTCACTCATGTGGTCGGCTTTGTTGTTATTCAGGTCCAGCAACATTGATGCTTCCCTTGATTATCGTGCGCTTTAGTTTCGCAACTAGGGGTTGGCGGTCGCCGGGTTGATCAAGTTCAGGTTGCACCATTTCATGCCATGCCAAACTTAAGCGAACCGAGCTGAGAAAAAAGGTCTAGATGTGCAGCCTGAGCCAAGGGAATACTCGTTCCTCGTGCGGCTCTTGCAATGATGGTGGTTGCTGGATGGGTTGGGGTGATCAGGTAACTAATAAATGACTCGTTCAGCTCTAGCACCTTTTCGGTACCTAACTGCCATGATATTCGAACCAGCAGTTTTTAGTCATTCAACCAGCATCGGTACATCAAATCTTCCGTCTGTCTGGGTTCTGTTTTTTCATACTCGGCTTTGGAATCCTGTTTCCGTTTGGTTGGTAAACATTTCCCACCCATTCAGCATAGCCCATCCTTTTGTGTCTGATACTCTTGCCGTTTCAGGAACATCAAGTACCCAATGCAGCTACCCAAGTATCGTAGACTGCACCGCCAAATGGTCGGTGTCTTACAGCAGTATAGAACGACAGAGAACAACCGTCTTGCAGACGAGCAGCATTGTCTCTGCCCGCAGACTGTTTTAGCTAAACAAGTTCTTTGAAAGTGCGTCCCAGAAGCTTGGCTCATGGCGGGCACTCAAGTCAGCAGGTAGTATGATTTCGTTATAGTGTAAATCTGTGCGGTAGTTCGCAAAATCCATCACAATCTTGTTTTGAGGACTGCGCCTGTAGTGGAGAATACTTCTATTTTGTGATGTTACCAAACTATACTGTAGCATTTGCAAACTTCAACGCTGGGCGCTGCAATTCACCATGCGTACGAGCAAAAAATGCAGTTGTTCGCATAACTGAAACTCCTGACCTCGGACCAGTGGATCAGATACCTTGCTCCAAAATGTCCAATACTGAACTAGAACTGAGCTTACTAGAACTTACCTTTACTAAGGCTTGATTCACGAAGCTCAGTAAATAGATATTGAAGAGTGCTAGTGTAACGAGGTACTCTTTTTTTCAAGCTCCTAAATATCTTGAAATCACCTCTGATCCCACTGCTCCAGGTAGGATCCGGAGTTGGCTGGCGGAATTTGTAAAACGACTGTGTGCCGGAAGAATTCTGTTCGATACTCTTCAGTTGACAGGGTCCAAACGCCTTAACAAGACATTCCCAAAGACATGAAGTGACTGGTGACGTGGCCGATTTCGCTCATATGGGCCAACGGAACCTCTTTGGGTGGACAGTCGGATTCACACAACAAGGAAGACGGAATGGCTAGAACCTGAAATCATACTATTCAGTTATTTCATCCCGGTGCTGATCCATCAAACTGCATCGAACTGAAAACCGAGCTAAACCTTTAACAATGATACGCGCGCATTGAATCATCGTTAAACTAACAGTGTTCCTAGGTGTTTCTCCCGTTTTATGTTTTATTAGCATATGGAGGATCAAAAACGCGTCAAACTTCCTCCGCTTTCGTGCTTCGTGTCCGTCTCCCAGCGAGTGATAACACATGGATTGCCAAACAGCAATGAATTCTGAAAGCTTTCTTTTCATTAAGACTTCGGCTGCAACGCCCGTCTGCAATATTAATTCAGCTTGCATAGGTGCGACATGAACCCCAACCCGGAAAAAGCAATTCAAGGTAAACCCCTCACATGCTTTTAAGACGAACGAAAGGTAAGGGGCAACACGTGTCCAAATTTTCAATGAAAAACTGCGTTGGTGCCTCGATCATTCCAACGGACAGGTTTCACGTGGAACAATGAAAATATCCACGAAAAAAATGCACAGAATTTCTAAGCAAGAAAAAATCTTGCTTGGTGTTTTTTCAAATACACAACTTATTCAAGGTAAACGTATCTTTACTATTGCATAACCTTTGGAAATCCGATTTCACATCTGACTTTTAGGGTAGTAAAACTACAAATCAGGGTATGTGGGCTTATTGGCATCTTGGGTAGCAGGAAGGGTTTTCATCGTCCTTTTTTCTTTCAGACTCATTGGATGGTAACACGATTGAGCGAAGTAACAGAATATCAACGAAATCGCAGACTGCCGAAATGGCGATAGTGGAAAGCAACCGCACTCAATGGAGAAAGGTGTTGACGCCACCGACCATGTACACTAGTTCGTCCACCAATAATTACCCCTTTCTGGTTTGACACCAAACGCCAAAAAACGGTCGTTTTATTACATACAAAAATTTCACTAGTAATCTATATGTTAAGCACATATTTTTCAATGTTAAGCAATTAGAATGACTGATGTTTCGAATAGAGAGCCTCTTTTCTGCGTTGGGTTCGCGAATTGGTAGCGTGGCAGTGGGCTGACTGTTTGAAGCATTCTGTTTTCGGCACTCACTCATAAGAAGCACTCATAGGAAGCCCCACACTGACTTTTCTGCCTTTTTCAAGTTTGAGACACTTCTTTTAACGTCTGCCTTTTCCAAACATGTCTACAAACTATCAGAAAGAGGACTGGCGGACAAAATGATGGCGCCACTGTAGAAGGGGAGTTTGTGTCGTTGAAATGGTGGCCCCACATATTATTCGCCCTATCATTCGAAATAAAGCTTCCTCAGAAGAAAGTGGCCGTCATTGCTCGCTTTCTTTTCTGTATCCATTAAGCAACTATTGGTAGAGCTTTCAGCAAACTGTGATAGGCGAGATCGCGTAGTATATTATCGGTTGAGTTGATGTTTGTATTAGT